ATGTAGTTATTTTACTAGTACAAGCTCCTTCAAAAGATAATATCCCTAAAGAATGCAATAAGATATCTGGGTGAATGAGTTATTAATGGTGACTGATAAACTAAATCACACAGATAATTAGGATAAAACAATATTCCTTATTCAAACATTACCTGGGACGCCATTGGCCTGGGAGCTTGAAAGGTTTTACTGAGGATCAGACATGGAAGCTAAAAGTTTTTAACGAGAGAAAAACAGCCTTTAAGGTAATAGACAGCAGAACAAAACTAAAAAGAAAAAAAAAACTAAGAAAGGTCAACACAGGGTTCGGTGGGGGGGCTGATGTGAGATGAGGTGGTTGTATAGAAGACAGCTTTGTGTCTCATATTCGCTACAGTAAACATTTCAGTTTATATTTTTAAAAAAAACTGTTGAATGGCTTCATTTGCTCACTGATTTAATCTGATTTATGCTTCAGAAAGACTAACCCAGCTGCAATGTGGGGAAGAGTTTAGAAAGACAAGAGGATTGCATGAGGAAAAGTGGACAGAGAATTAATGCAATAATCCCAGCAACAGAAGACAAGAGCTTGAATCCTGTCAATGGTGTAGACATGGACAGCCATGAAAATACTAGAGTGAGACCAAGAATAATATTGGCCTTTGACCTAACAAGAAAATCCCTTCTCTACAATATGTTAGAAAATCTCCTCTGTTCTTCAGCTTTATACTTCCCCAGATGTAAACAAAACCAATATGTGCCCATCAAAAATCTGTCTTCCTTCTCTGCTAGACCATGATTGAAGGACCATGACTATGGAATTCCCTCTCCAAACAACCTCAAGAATCTTCTCAGGCCTGAAAGGACTTCTTCCATCAGGATATCCTACTATTACTCAGTGGTTGAAAAGCATTGGTTGTAAAACCAGAGTGACGTAACCAGATGACTGGTGGGGTCTGTACGTGTTAAATTTCAGGCATTTTGAATCTTCCAAGAACATCTTTTAGATGGTTCTATATTAAAGGATACAGAGGTTCCAGGCAAGACCTCATCTGTGAGTATTATTTGTGAGTCACGAAGAAGGGAGAAATTGCCAAGTATGGTGGCACACATCTGTAATTACAACATCCAGTGGTCTGAAGTAGAAGGACCACAAGTTCCAAGCCAGTCTAGCTACATAGTAAGACTGATTCTCAAAAGTGAAAAAAAATAGCCTTGGGAGAAAGTAAAATGATACATAAAGGAGAAATCTATGATGCGATCTTAAGAAAGATCGAAATTCAAGAACAGATGACCACAGGCATGGGAGAAAATCAAGACAGTGTTATCATGAGCAACAACAGGAAGAGAGGATGTAGAGAGTAAGAGAAGCTGTCTGTGCCACTCACCTCCTTCCCTGGCCCCTCACTAGATTCATCATAACCCCTTAGTCCCCCTCTGCCATCTACACCATCTAACAGCTGCCTTGGTCTCACCATCAGGATGTGCTCCACTTCTCCACTATGAACCAGCCTCTAATTTCCATGTACCTTTACTCTAATATTATATGCTTACTCTAATATATAACCATATTAATTTCCATTTCTAAACTTTCTGACAAATCTAGTGGGTGCAATGTCTGCAAACCATACCTAACCTTCCCTCAAATAGAGATGTTTAGAGGGGCAGTTACTCAATATCCTCACACAGTGAATGGAATAGCACTCAGGATGGAACGTGCCTGAAGCCGTGGTTCCATGGGTCTCCAAATGTCACCACATAGGTCCTGTCCACTAGGACAGAAGGTTAGTTGTTCTTGTAAACAGTGGCTAAGGCCTGAACTTTGGCCAGTAAACTTTGGTGTCTCTCTTGGGCTGTTCAAAGATTGCTTTTTCTGTCTTTTTATTAATCCCTAAGGTTGCTACATTAACGTTTCCATGCAATTGAAATTCACAGTTTGTGTTCTATATTCAGCCTACAAGGAGGTCTGCAAAAGCACAAGCTCACTGTATCCCAAACTCAGTCTTAACATGCCTAGGGTCCAGCAGCCTTTCGGAACATTCACTGGTTGCTGGTTTAACTTGACCAGTGAAGACAGAGTTGCACATGTAATAAGCAGCTGTGAGCAATTTCGCATCGTACGATCTCCCCCACTTCTCTCATTACATGGCAATGAGTACTCGCAGGGTTAGAGGAATAGGGTAGAGGTAAATTGGTTGGCAGAGCTGTCTTACTTCACTCCTGACCAATTAAAGAGGCTAAAAACACTCAGGCCATTAGGCTTACAAAAGTCTCTTTAGTCCAGTGATCTACCCACTACATCTATCACTCAAATGCTGGTGATTATAATGTCCCTTCTTTGCCCTCTCCACACAAATCTAAATCTCAAAGCAATATTATTTGACACACACATTTCTTTGGTAATCTGCTTAGCTGAGTAAGAAAAAGGGGTGCTGCAGAAATTCAAATATGTATGTCCTCCGAATGTCTCAGCCACCCTGCAAATGAAGCCATTGTGATAGAGAAACATGTTTGTGGCCCTTTATCAGATACATGCAGTTGTTCCTTAATTATAAAATTAAAGTGACAGTTACAACACTCTACACCAGCCCACAGATGGCTCTTTGGCTCATGTTCAGTGTCACTTAAAACTATAAATACTCATGGGAAACATCACATTACAAGTGTGGCTGCAAGAATAGGGAAGAGAGATATTGTTGACAATCCTTTTACTAAATAGGAAAACTTTCATAGTCATGTCTTTACATATTTACTCATTTTAAATCATAATGCACATGTTTCAAATGTAGCTATTTCTAATGTCCTTTGTTATCCACACGGTATGAAATGACTAACTTGCTCTTGTGTTGGAAGATGCTCTGCTTATAACCTAAATATTCTGAATTATGTTGTATATTTTGTTAACTTAAACATATTTCTTAATCATAGCACTAAAATCTCTATCCACCTTTAATTATCTTCCACAGGATCCTTACTGCCAAAAATACTTATAATAGTATAACAACATTTCAATTCTAACTACCTTTAAGACAGTATTCACACAATCATGAACTTGTGTGTTGTGAAAGTAGTTTTTAATTAGGCAAAATGAATTGAATTGATAAAACATTTTGAGGATAGAGCACAGTCATAGATTACATACAAGGCCCTGAGTTCCATCCCCAGCATCACACACACACACACACACACACACACACACACACACGAGAGAGAGAGAGAGAGAGAGAGAGAGAGAGAGAGAGAGAGAGAGAGAGAGAGAATGAAAAGGAAAGAAACTAACTAAAATCCATTGCAGATAGGAGCATTGGTGCCATCTCTGAAAACTTTATTCTGCTTGACTATATTTGCTCTTCACATAAAACCTTTTCTCTTGCTAATAGTCACTGTCAAAAGTAAAATGGAGAGTCATCCCTTCTCATGAAACCCACTTGACATGAGCACGGAATGGCCGTGTATTCAGAACCAGCTGGTTACCATTCCCTGGCACTCATCTAATTTTCTCTAAATTTACCTTTAGAAATATTTTATTTATCCAGGTAGTTGCGGCACACGCTTTTAATCCCAGCACCAGGGAGGCAGAGGTAGGTGGATCTCTGTGAGTTTGAGACCAACCTGGTCTACAGAGTGAGTTCCAAGACAGCCAGGGCTACGGAGAGAAATGCTGTCTCAGTAAAAATATATTTATTAACATTCATACATACATATAATGTGCTTTAATTCCCCATTCCCTCCCCTGCCCTGTCTTCTCTATCCCACCCCGTTTCTCTCTCTGAACTTCATGTGTTCTCTCTCTCCCTCCCTCCCTTAAATACCCACTGAGTCCACTTAGTGCTTCCTATATGTGCATAGGTGTGGGACTATCTCCTGGAGCATGGATAGCCTTTCAGCACCTGCATGCCCAAGCCTCCCTCACTCAGCAGCTATCAGTTGTCAATAGATCCTCAAGTAGGGGTGAGGCTTCATGAGCCCTCCCCCTACATGTTGTCTTGACCTTGTGCAAGCCTTCGAATGCCGTCCCAGCTGCTGTGAGTTCATGTGTGCAGCTTCAGTCAAATCTGAAAAATACTCTTTTACTGAAAAAGTCTCCTCCTCCTGGCTCTTAGGATATTTCTGGCCCATCTTTAAAAGTGATCCCTGAGCATTGGAGGGGGGGGTGTTGCAAGGGAGGAAAAGAGGTATTTGGCTTATGATACCATAATTCTCCATGTCACCCATATGCATAGCTTTGGAGTAACTTAATCTAAATATTTTGATCCATTGTATACTTTTTAGTTAAATGATTTTGATCCAACCTCTCACTTATCTTTATGCCCAGCACACTAGCCCTGCTGATTTAAGGTCTCACTTCCAAGTTCTCTCGATTGGTTCAGAAACAATGTCCACACCTCTTGTCCTCATCTACTCTGAAAAACTCCAAAACAATGCCGCTTTTTAAATATGCTTGGATGATTCCCCATTGCCCATTAAGTAAATGCCAAGGCTCTGTGCTTGGTACTCACAATGTCTGTGATCTGATTCCACTAACTGACAAAGTCCCAGAAAGCAGAGCTCTCTCTGTTCCTTGCTGCAGCACCCTGGTGGCTAGCACAGGGCTGACACATCATGGATGCTCAAAATGCCTTTTGAATGGATGAGTACATGGATGAAAAACAAATGAAGGAATGAGTTCTATGGCATCATCCTTTATTTCTCTCACACATAGAAAGTCCATCATTAATCATAACTTATGTTTGCAAGCCAAAAAAAAAAATACAAAATACCATATTAGGTAAGCAACATACAAGGTACACTAAAGTCACCTTCCTTTCTCCCAGTTGGCATGTTCATTTCCAGACCACAAGCTCTGCTTATAGGACTACCTTCCCAAGTAGTCTATGTAAATCCTCCTGTCTTTCAAGAGCATCTTTAGTTCTCCTTTTCTCCAGGCCTATATTGTTATATTGTTATTATATTTATTATTTTGTTTTCATCCTTAGTGATGGCTCCTCAAGTTAAATGATTTACTAATTTGTAACTATTTTGTACTTGTAAATATTTTCCTGTTCATACTATTAGTTTTGCATTTGGAAGAGAGCAAATGCAAACGTTTCAGGTGCCTTCACATTCCGTGGGAGGCACAGTAACCCTACAGAGCACTGAGTATGTGTGGAGGGAAAAGACACCAAGGATTGTCATGTATTTAACAAAAATTAATAAAATGCCTGACTGTGGCAGCTCTTGGAGGTAGTTATGCATATTAGTGCGCTTGTTCTGCCCTGAGGACTTTAATTCAGGACATCATTGCTGTCTTGTTTTATAAAACTCAGGTTAAAATAGAATGAAAAAGATTAAATAACATGTCTAAGATCCAAACCAGTGAGCAGAGCAGATTATGAATTAGGGGACTGGGGTATAGTACAGGGGTAGAATATTTGCCTTGAATGCATGAGGCCCTAAATTCAATTCCTAGTATAGAAAAATCAACAGTATGGTTGCTCTCTTATAGACCTTCAAAACTATAGTACTGGCAAAGTTACATCCGTGGTTGTTGATGGTGAAGATTTCAGAGGAAAGGCCATGTGTTTCTTCTTCCAAAGTGGTGTGAAGATGAACTTTGTGCCTGGTGATTTCTTTATTCTTTGTCCTCAGAGTCTCTCTCGTGGATGCTTTGCACCTTCTCTGTAGGAATCCCAGCAAGAAAACAGGCAGCTGGTAGAGGACATAACACAATCTGAAGGAAGGAGAAAAAGACACTGGCTAGAGCCCAGGAAGTGACGCAACAGCAGACCCATGGCTCTGAAGAACAGTGTTCAGCCAAAGAATGAAATCTTGTCTTTTGAGAAACCATGGGAGGGATGAGGGGTTGTGACGTTGAGGAAAATGAACCAGGCACAGGCAGACAAGTGCTCCATGACCTGCTCATGTGTGGATTCTGGAAACGCTGATCTCATAGAGTAGAAAGGTGGTTATAGGAGATGGGGAGAGTGGCAGAAAGGCAAGAACCAGGAAAGACAGATCAATGGCTGTTATGTTAAAGTTGGATAGGAGTGGGAAGTTCTGCTGTGCGATAATACAGCACATTGACATTAAAGAACAATAACATTGACAAGACTTTTCTATTCAATTAAAATATAATTAGATCATTTCTTCATCCCGTCTCCTACCCATCCCATGTCCTCCAAACACCTCCTAAATTCACAGCCCCGTCTTCTTGAACTATTGTTGTTATTTATACATATAAACAAATAAACAAAACCTGCTTAGGAAAGATTTTTTTTTAAAGATAAAAGAGGATTTTTAAAGTTTTCACCATAATAAAATGAGAAACGTTTGAAGAGATGGATATATTTTAACTCAACTTCAACATTATACGATGTGTGGGGCTAGAGAGATGGCGCAGCAGTTAAGAGCATAAACTGCTCATGCAGAGGGGCCAAATTTGGTTCCTAACAGCAACATAGTCAGCTCCCATAACTCCAGCTCCCATGGGATCCAAACTTCTGGCCTTCGTGGGCCCCTGTCCTCGCAGCACATACCCACACACGTGCAAATAATCTTAAATAATAAAAATATCAAATAAATAAATGTGATTTTAAAAATTATGCAGTGTATACTCATATCAACATACCAGATGCTATCCAATTAATAAATATAATTGTTATTTGCTATTTTGCTGTGCTGGGAATTGAACCTAGGGACTTGTGAATGCTATAAAAATGTTCGACCACTGAGCTACACTTTTAGTACAATTTCTACGTGTTTGAGTGTTAGTCAATAATGAATTTCTTTAAAGTTGCCATGGCTATTATTTTATTTTTATTTTTTTGGTCTCACTGTGGATCCAAAATGGAATCTACTAGTTTTTATTACTCTACTATTTCTAGAACAGTCGTAGGGAGATGGAGACAGCTCCGTGGGCAAAGGTGCCTGCCGCAAAACCTAACAACCTGCATTCAGCCCCTGGACTTACCTGACAGAAGGGGAGAATTGACTCCCCAAGTTGTCTGGCAGCCTCCCATGGCACACATACCCGCACAAACACACACAAGCACACATAGGCGCATATGAAATACTGGTTATTTTAGTTTTTAAAAAGAACCGTCGTAGGATACTTTTTGGTAAGTGTTTAATATATTTTTTCCTTTGTCACATTGTCTTTGCTAATAGAGATACAGAAAGGACATGCTTTCAAAATTCTAACCCCGGATGCCAAGCCCACGCACACTTGCTACATAAGCAGATAGAGTTTGAGCTTGTTTGAGCTCTGGTTGTACCGATGATTGCCCTTCAAACTAAGCAAGCTAAATGAAGCATCTGTGGAATGTTTGAAGAGGGGTGGCTGCTCAGATACAGAACCACTGCCCCCGGCAGAAACAGAGTGGCCTTGAATGGTAAATACAATGCAAGTCTCATCAAGGGAAGGAGCAGGAGAAAAACAGGATGCCCAGCGCTGAGAGGGTAGGCTTCCTTTCAGCAGAGATTGAGAGACTTCCTGGAGCAGGTGCAAGGCCACCCCACAGAGCTGCTGGGCACATTCTATGTCTTTATTCACCCAGTTCATTCAAGTGCTGGCGCAGCATTCACCAAACTTCCCACATATTCCCTTCCCTGTCGTCAATTCTGCCTGAGAACTCTTACTCATTTGTTAAGCACAGAGTTCACAAATGGGAAAGGACTTCCCAAGTCCAAACGCCAGCTCCACCACTCACTATGTGGAAATCAGTAAATTGCTCTGTCACTGTGCCTTGGCTCTCTCCTGATTATTAGGGATAATTCTAATGGAATGTCTACAAGAATTCACTAGGTAATGATGCATATTGAGTGTGACGAATATCAGCATATGCTGATGTGAAAAGTTTTAAAAGTAAAATATGTGCATATGAATGTGATACATATGTGTGGTATATGCACACGTGTGTGTATGTAGGTATGCACATCTGTGCATGCACTGCAGAGGCCCAGGAGGACATCAGATGGCCTGCTGTGTCATTCTTGTCCTCATTCTCTTGAAACAGAGACTCTCACTGAACCTAGAGCTAGGCTGGCAGCCTGCAAATCCCAGTGATCCTCCCTTCTACCCCATCCCCAGTGGCAGGGATTTGAACTCAGGTTTTCATTCTTGCACAGCAAGGGCTGTTACCTACTATGCCATCTCCCCAGACTAAATACTTAGTACATTTTAACCAACATCATTATCACTGCCATTTCAAAAAGCAGACGAACACCAGTGTAGGGTCTTATTTCAAAAGTGTTCAGAGGGAATGTCAGTTGGGTATCTGTAAGGAACTAAAGCAGTACCAGAGTAGCCACACTGTCCTACAGGTTATCCACATAGGATATGAAGTTCTGCATCTCTAAGTGATCAGAGACATGCTTCATCAAGGTCTCAGAAACTGATTACAATTTTGACATGTTATTATTCTCATTATTCACATTTAAGAGAAGAGAGCAGAATTTTCCATTAGAAAACTCTTTAGAGATAATTGGCTTTGTGTCCTTTGTCCTTACAATGAAGTTATAAAAGCCAGTTAGCCAACGTTTCAGCTTCTGTGTGGGTGCTAGAAATTCAACATTGAGTAAAACTTGCCTATTCCTTTACCTGACAGAGCTTGAGTAAGTCAGTCAATAGAGAGCCAGCGACTCTCGGATGCTGAGTTGAAGACAGTGAAAATCAGCCGTTGGATGTGAGGGACTGCTGTGTTGGTTTCGGAAGCTTGTCTAAGGAAGAGACACTCCAGCTGAGGCCTGAGTGACAACAAGAGGACAGCCATGATGAGATTGAGAGTGGGGTGAATGACTGGGTGGATCCGAGACACAGTAAGTGACATAGTAAGGAGGAGGTCAGCGCAGCTGTAGTGAAGTGTGGTGAGGTGAACAATGGGAGAGCAAGGGAGCTGAGGGCCAGGAAGAGGCGGAAGATGGAGTACATAGGCTGCAGCAAGGAGGCCCAGATTTATGCTGGTGTCTGGGCCAAGGTGTAAGTCAATTCTTAAGCAGCATGAGAAGCTGTGACTGAAGCCTTGGGAAGGTCACTGTCTGGATGTAGAGGACTGCAGTGGACTACACGGAATCCGGGAAGCCAGCAGGCTGTGGCCCTGTCCCAGGCAGAAGACAATGATGGACCAGTCTAGGATGCCAGCAACAGAAATGGTTACTGGTGGTCAGATTCTGACAATAATTAGGGAGTAGAGCTGTCGTCGGTTACGGACAAACTATAAAACATAAAGATCAAAACTGGACTCAATAATGACTGTAAGGTGTTGACCCATAGAACCAACAGTGGGAGAAGGGAATTAGGTAGGTAGGATAGGTGGCGAGATATATGTTCTATTTAAGGAAGGCAAATAATATTTCTGTTCGGCCTTGTTCTAAGAATATAACAATCCAGAATTCAGAGAAGTCCTCACTGTGTGTTTTTGTTTTGTTTTTTTTTTTTACTAATTAGTGTCCAAAGTCATGGATTTAAATGAGATCATCTGGTCACTCAGGAAAAGTGTACACACTGAAGAGTCGAGTGCTGATGATGGAACCCTCAGTACCACAAGCTGGAGGACTTGGGGTGGAGGACGTGCCTACGGAACCCAAAGAAAAGAAGCCGCTGTGAGATAATAAGAAAACTGCAAGAATGTAGGATGCAGATGGCAGGGAAGGAAGATTGGATGCATGTGTCATGAACTTGCTGTGCAAAACAGATTAAGACCTCTATTATCTTATGTGGACCTTGAAGACATTAGAGGTTTTACATTATTTTATTTGTCTATCACCTAAAGTACTCAATGGAGCCAACTATATTGAAACATTGTGAGAACTCACTAAGAATAATTAATTGGTTATACCTATTGTTCACACAATGAAAACCAAATTAACCCATACAGGAAATCCAATTAGCTTCCTTTGTAGATCTTATGAGTTGCCAGGAGATAAATCTGCATATTATCAATCAATTAACCTAGCTAACAATTATTAGCAAGTCACTTCACACTAACCAATAACATGATAACATATAGTATTTTTCATGACATGAAATCTATCTTGGTGACTGTGCCTTCATAACTTGACCCTAAAAAGTAAACATCATGTGCAAAGAATAAGATTGATAGATATAGTTGTTTGATTTGGGCAAAGAGTTAATCCAAAAACTGTTCTCCAGTTTGTGCTGTATAGAAACAGTTTTAAGCCTTTATGAAACACAATATATATAATGTGACATTAACTCATTTGAGGATTTTATAAATTAAAAGCAAAGATGAAGGAGAAAAAACTTATACATACACACAAAACCTATAACGCAAGGCAGGAGGAAATGAGTGCCAGTTATAAGCAATATACACTTCCATTCATTCAGACAACTTCTAAGTTTTGATATTGTATAAAAACAGTCAACACTTTACACTTAAGAGTTCTCTCTAATGGTTTCAAATGCCTCTAATGCATAAGAAGTTTCCAGTAGAAATCATTGGATGTATTAAAGAATGAATTCATTCAGACATTCTCAACACCAGCTTATCTACTGCCAAAGGCCACTGACCTGATAGTTGCACTGTAATCCTTTACCACAGAAATTTGCAAAGTCCAAGCAGATGGCAAATACCCCCCCACAGCACTCATTGACAAAGAGTGAACTATGTCCGCTGAAAAGTATACTTTGGGCAAATGAATTACAGAAAGTCCACACATGCAGATGCCTTCCAAGGACTAGCCTGGATTAGGGAGACCTGCTGAGTCCAGCAGTTGTGTATCAACCAGGAGATTGCACCTGGGGAGAGTAAACAATGAGTCCCCATCATTCTATAACGTGGGTGACAGTTTGTAGCTCTAGAAAGCTGCAGTGATAATCGAAATAAAACAATCACTCACAAATACAAGGCAGTGATTAATTTGGAGAATTAAATCTCACACTTCTGTATTAAGACAGAAAAGTGATCAATGCTTGGGATGCTGGGTGTGATCTTCCCTCACTATGAATGAACTTTTGTCATTGGACAAGGTAACTTCTTTGTGCCCCAACTTCCTCAGCTATAAAAATGAGAATATCACTTTCTTTGGTACATCTAAGTACTGAAAACATATCAGGCATGTAACAAAATGAAACATCTCTATTCCAACAGGTTCAAAATAGAAATGAATTTGTGCTATAAAAAATAAATAACATGTTCAGAAACAAGGCTGTTGATGTTCCTTTCATTATTGTACTAGAAACCTAGCTCAGTACAATAAGAAAGGGGGAAGTGGGGTACAAATTGGAAAATAAATTAAGATATTTTGGTTTTCTTGGGAAATCTGAAAGAGTCAAAGAAAAAAATCTCTTCACACAATAATCAATTTCAGAAAGTTTTCAGGATATAAGGTTAATATATAAGAATTCATTACTTTCCTACATATCAACAACAGACAATAGAATTTAAAATTAAAGAGATAATACCATTTATATTAGCTTCCCCTCCAAAAAAGATATCTATCTGTAGAAACAAATCTATAATAAGAATTTTTGTTTTAACTGGGCATGGTGGCACATTCCTTTAATTCTAGCACTTGGGAGGCAAAGGAAGTCAGATCTCTATGACTTCAAGGCCAGTCTGGTCACATAGTGAGTTCTAGGACAGCCAGGACCATACGATAAGACCTTAATAAGACGAGAGAGAGAGAGAGAGAGAGAGAGAGACAGAGACAGAGACAGAGACAGAGACAGAGACAGAGACAGAGACAGAGACAGACAAACAGGATTTAATTTTTTTGAGAACTTCATAAATGAACACTGCATCTACATCACTCACACTTCTCCCTCCATCCTCTCACCCCTCCTGTGCCTCCTCCCAAATTCATGGCCTCTTCTTCATTATTGGTGTGTGTGTGTGTGTGTGTGTGTGTGTGTGTGTGTGTGTGTGTGTGTGTGTATACCTACTGAGTTCATTTAGCATTGTCTGTATGTACATACGTTCAGTGACTGAACAACCCATGTGGCAGTTTGTCCCTGTAGGAAACTGATTCTTTCCTTCTCAGCAACTATTGGCTACCTATAGCTCTCCGTTGAGGTGTGGGACCTTGTAGAATTTCTTCCATTCCCATTGTTATGTCAACTGGTGTTGTCATACTGGTCTTATTCAAGCAACTGTGTTGTTGAGATGCCATACATGCATATTCCATGTTATCTCTAGGGAATACTATCTAGCAACAGGCATCCTAGTCCTCTGGCTCTTAAAGTCTTTCCTCTCCCCTCCATGATTTTTCCTGGGCTTTAGGCATAAGGATGTACTGAATAAGAACCTTAACAGGAAATTTTGTATAACATTTATACAAGGGAAATTATAAAATTTATCAAAGAAATCAGAAAGCTAACAAAACCCAGAGATATTCCATGTTCATCCATAGAAAAACTTGGCATTGTCTTGATTTGATTCTTTTCAACATGGTTAATAGAGTCAGGACAGTCATGAAAAATATTCGACCAAGTCATTTTACAACAGTTGACAAGCTGACTCCAAAGTTTATGTGAAGAGGCAAAAGATCCACAATAGCTGAAGGATGTTGAACGAAGTCAGAGAACTGACACCACCCAACTCTAAGATTGATTAAAAGCTGTAGTGACTGGGACTGTGAAGCACCAGCTGAAGAATATGCAGGGAGAGAAAAGGAACAGAACAGAGGCCCAGAAACAGATCCATGTGAATGCAGTCAATGATCTTTGGGAAAAGACAAAAAGCAACACAAAGAAGAAAAGGTGGGATTTTCCACACATTAAAAAAAATGAGTCTAGACAAAAATTACAAACTAACTTTAAGTATATCTTAGACATGAAACACAAAACTATAGGACACCTATGGGATAATATAACAGAAAAAAAATCCAGATGTCTCCAGTTTGGTGATGACATTTTAGATATGACACAAAAGGCACAATCTATAAATAGAAGAAATTACAGGCTGAGTTTCAGGAAAAATCAACTTCTGGTCCTGAAAAGACACTGCCAAGAAAATAAAAGAACATGCCATATATTTGGAGAAGAAAAAAAAAAAAGAAACATATAGAATTACTACTAAAACCACGCAATCAGCCAGACATGGTGGTACATGCCTTTAATTCCATTAATTCCAGCACTCAGGAGGCAGAAGTAGGTGGATCTCTGTCAGTTTGAGACCATGCTAGTCTACATGATGAGTCCCAGGACAGCCAGGACTACGTTGCAAGACACTGAACAGTAAAATAAACAACCAAAAATTGTGTAGCTGACTCTTAAGATTGAACAATAAGGAAACTTTATAAAATATAGGATGACAACCTTAACAGATGCCTCATCAAAGATGTAATGATGACAAATAAGGAAGGAAAGAAGTCCCACATCACATGTAACCAAAGGCTAAAAGTCCTTACTATATGGTCTGTAAGTCCCACCCCATGCTAATTACCCGAAAGAGATGGAAATTGGGCTCTGTCCAAACACCTTGTACAGATATTATAAAATATTTAGTCCTAAATGTCAAGCTTGGAAACAACTAAGATGCTATTTATTTATATAGTCTCACTCCCGTAGACTAGGAGAGTCAAATTTATGGCAATCTTCCAGCCTCCGCCTCCCAAATGCTGAGATTATATGTCCAGCTCCAAGATGTCTTTTAATAGGTATATGGAAAAAGAACTATAAAATATCCATGTCAGCACTAGAAACAGATGAGTTGTCATTCTGTAAAAAGACATGGAGAAAATTTAAATGCATATTATTAATCCTAAGAAGCCAATATGAAAAGGTTGCATACAGCATAACACTCAGGAAAGGGAAAACATAATGGAGACAAAAACATCAACATTTGCCAGGGGTTAGGAAGGAAAGAAAAATAAACAGACAAAATTGACGGTTGTCAATGCAATTTAGCTACTTCATATATCATAATGATGGGTGCACATCATAAATTTACCCAAGCATATAGAATGTACAGTACTTAAGATGAACTCTTCTGGGCTTGGTGTTCAAGCCTGTAACTCAAACTGCTTGTAAGCTGAGACAGGAAGATCATGAGTTCGAGCCTTGCCAGGGATACAGAGTTAAAATACCAATATGGGGAACTTAGTAAGAGCCTGGCTCTTACTTTTTTGTGCTTGAATTCAAGTCTGTGGGGGCATTTCAGGGTGATTACGGTGAATAAAAAATTTAAAGGGTAAGAATATCACTCAAAGCCATAAACTTATTTCCCAGTACTGAATAAAAGGGTATTGTACAAGCACAGGGCAGGGGAACAGAGAGAATGTGGGAACCTCTACATTGTATTATGAACCTGAAATTCTCTTTAAGAAAAAATGTCTATGACTAGAAAGGTAGAAAAGTAATAGAACTCTTGCCTTGTATGCCCAAGACTTTATGTTTAATCCCTGACAGCTCCAAATTTTATTTTTTTAATTTATTTTTTTATTCATTGTACATACCAACCACAGTTCCTCCCTCCTCCCACCACCATCCACTCTTTAGAACCACCCCCATCCATTTCTCAGAAAGGATAAGGGCTCCCATGGGGAGTCAACAATGCCTGCAGTACCAAATTTTCTACCACTCAAATAACCAGAGAATCAGGCAAAGTCAAGATACCATATCATATCTAACTGGCTAGGACTAATCATAACAACCCTATTAGATATCATTTTAAAGATTAGTATACACAAGATAATATACAATAGACCTTTAAAAAGTGACCTTTTGAACTTTAACAGTTTAACTCTAAATTACTATGGTAACAAGTTAGTAGGATAAGCTAAAAAAAAAAAAACAGAAGCCCAAAAATCAAAGTTGAAGCATATCAGAGGCTGAATACTCCTGCTAAGTAGTGAGCTCCTGGATAGTGAAGGTACAGCAAATATTTGACCAATGAAAGAAAGAATGAGATATTAACTCGAATCCCATGCCAACATCCTCAATATGCCTCACAGACACTTATAAATTTGCATATGCAGAGATGATTACAGCTGCCTGCAATTACTTTCTCTTTATGTTTTTGTCTCTAAAACAGATCTGTGTCTGCCATTGCAAATATGTCCTTAAACAGGACAGTGACAAGGTACAATTGTTGTCTAAAGATCAATAAGGAAATTAACTCCAACCCCAACGACAATGAAACCTAAGAAGTAACAAGAGCTTTATAGCAGAAAAAAATTAATGTATTTATAAATATTTTCCCTAGAAATAAGTTTACTTTACTTCAATATATGTATTAAAGTATATATATGCATATCTACATAATATATATAGTCTTACTATGAATGTCTCCTCCAGAATGGTGGGCATGAGTTTTATCATGGTAAATTCAAAACAAGAAGCTTGAGCTTACTTAGGCAAGGTTTTTCTTACCCCCTTTCGTAGCTTGGCTAAGTAAGTCAAAGCTGTTGTATCCCAATTCATCTTGGAAGATTTTGTAGTTAATCCAGTGTGCTTCACACAATCCAGAAAGCCCACATAATCAAAAGTATGAAGCTAGATTGGATTTTCCTACCCAATGCAGGATTGTCTAAAGTGATTATTAGACGAGTACTTCAACTTTTTTTTTAACAAGCCCATGAGTTCATTTGGTTAATATACAAAGCATGAGAGCAGATCACTTAGAGCAGTGATCCTCAACCTGTGAGTTTTGAATGCTTTAGGGATTGCTTATCAGATATCCTGCATATCAGGTATATACAATTCATAATGATAACAAAAAATCAC